GGGGGGGGGGGGGGGAGCACAGAACGCCGGGCCTATCGTGCGGCCCCTGGAGTCCGGGCACCCGGCGGGGCGCAGCAGGAGCCAGGGGCGGGCCAGCACCGAGGGCGGGGGCAAGCGGGACTGCGGGCTGTCGCACAGAGTCCGCGGCACACAGTCCCGTGCCAAGTCCCAACCGTGGCCTAGGGGGGCGGCTGTCACCAAGGAGGACCACGGACAGCCCGGCAAAGGACAGAGGACCTGAAAATGAGGCCATTCTAATACCACAGCGACGGGAAAGGCCTGAAAAGGGTCCACAGGTCCGCAGGCGGTGCTGGCGGAAGCAGGCTGCCCCCCAAGGACAGCGGGTCCGTGCCCCTCGCGGAGGAGGTCTCCTCGCTCCTCCACCCCCATCGAACCCAACAGCAAGGCTGCCGCACGACCCGAGCCCAACCAGGCCACGCCCAACCAGGCCACGCCCCGTCACCTGTGCCCACGGCTCCTCTGCAAGTAGCAGCCAGGGTGGTGGCTGCAGCAAGAGAGACCCTGTCACCTCCCCGCACAGAACTTCCACACCAGCTAGGAACAGACTCTAACTATCTCAACACAGTCCTCTAGCCTTCCCAGGGCACACTGTTGCCCTCCTGTCACCGTACTTGTTCTCGGCCTGGAGCGCTAACCCCCTAGCCCTGTGAATGGCCTGGCAGACGGACAGAGTTCTAGCAGGCACACCTCAGCAGAGAAACGGGGGAGCCAGGGGTCAACCTTTGGCCTCTGGGCCCCAAATGCACCCTTGCCTCCGGGGTCTGTGTGGGAGCAGCCCCGGCAAACACACCTCCCCAGCTGCTGGCGCCGAGCGGAGCCTTGCCGGCAGGGGGCGCCGGAGGGACACTGCGGAGGCAGGGGCTCTTCCCGCCAGCCCCTCGGAGAAGCGAGGTGGACAGAGCGCCGCGGGCTCCCCCTCGAGCCCACCTGCCGCGCGCCCTGCAGCTCCTCAGCAGCTGCTCCGCTACCCGGAGAGCCTCTTCCCAGGGGGTCCTGCCTGGCGTCGTCTCCCTAAGCTGCGTGGTAGTGGCTGCCCCCTAGATGTGCCACTGCTGGATTCTTTTGCGTTCCCTTCCCAGATGTGGCTAGTTGATCCGTTACACTTGGCTCTCCACGCAAAAGTGCCCCTGTTCAAACTACTGGTGTGGTTGCCCATCTCCTGACCTTGATCACCCCTGTTAATCTCTTATATCACAAACTGCTCTTTGAAATCCTGGTGTCTCCCTTGTTTTCCTGTTGTTGTCGCTGTGTTGTTTTTCACCTGTCTTCATCACTGGAAGCTCAGTTCCACAAGAGTGGGACCCTTTCCGTCCTGCTCACTTTTGTGCACTAGCACCTGACACACAGGACAGACTCCGAACAGCAGCCAAGAACCCGAAAAGTAACATTTCCTGGTGACAAGGGATGAAATGAGGCCTTTTAAAATAGCACATGCCCATACAGTAAATCCTTAAATGTGCCACCTTGTAGTGCTCATCTCACACAGATTTAACTTCTGTCCAAATCCAACACAGTTTAAGAGAATACAACAAAATCCAGCACTCAACAAGGTAAAATGCACAATGCCCAGCATCCAGTAACAAAACCAAGAAGAAAGAAAATATGACTCACAACCATGAGGGAAACCAATCAAGAGAAACAGAACCCAAAATAACGAAAATGATGCAACCAAGAGACAAGAATCTCAAACTGGTGATTATAAACTCTAAGTTTCAGAAAGTAGAGGAAAACAGAAAACACAAGGGCAGCAAGTGAAAATGTAAAAAATAAGCAAATGGAACTTCTAGAAATGAAAACATAAGCTGTCTTACAACAGAGTATCAATAAATCTGAATAATCCAAAATGAGGTGCAGCAACAAGACTGAAAAAAAACAAACAAACGAAGCATTTCTGAAACAAAAGTCAAGATGTCTAACACGCAGGTAATGGCATCCCAGAATAAAAGGCTATATAAAGAAACAGCTGAAAATTTCCCACATTTGAGGAGACCATAAACTGGCATATTTTAAAAGCTCATCTAATCCCAAGCACAATTAACAGAAAGCAAACCACACCAAGGCACATCAGAGTGAAACTGCCAAAAAGCAACAATGGGGTGCAAATCGGAGAAGCAGGCAGAGGAAAACATCCCTTCTGCACACAGGAGCAAAGACAAGAATGGCAACATGCTTCCGACAGAAATAGGGAAGCCAGCAAGAAATGACCAACAACCTAGCATTCTTAGCAAAAACAACTTTTTAAAATGAAGGCAAAGGAAAAGTTTTCAAACAAACAGCAGTTCCCGGGCACTACAGGAAATGTTAAAGGCAGAAGAGCACAGGTGAATGGTGTGAAGAACACCAAGCTTATAAAAGGGAGTAGAGGGAAAGGACAAGGACTTTTCTCGTTTATTAAGTCTTTTAAAAAGATAATTAACTATTTAAAGCTAAAGTAAGAAAAATGTACGGTAAACTCTATATTTGTATGAGAAAAGCAGATGACTATACAAACACTGGTGGAGCTCAGAGTACAACTTTTCAAGGCTCTTAACACTACATGTTAAGCATATAATATTCTTTGAAAGTACAGGTTGAAAAGTTGAAGATACATATTGTGAACTCTGGAACCACTAAAAGTAATTAAACATAGCAAAACCAAAAGGCAACCAACGGAACAGGAGAAGATATTTGCAAACAACGTATCAGATAACAGTTGGGTTAGTGTCCAAAATCTATAAAGAACTTATCAAACTCGACACCCAAAACCAAATAATCCAGTGAAGAAATGGGCAGACGACATGAATAGACACTTCTCCAAAGAAGGCATCCAGATAGCCAACCGACACATGAAAAAATGCTCAACATCACTCATCATCAGGGAACTACAAATCAAAACCACGATGAGATACCCCATCACACCTGTCAGAATGGCTAACATTAACAACTCAGGCAACAACAGATGTTGGCGAGGATGCAGAGAAAGAAGATCTCTTTTGCATTGTTGGCGGGAATGCAAGCTGGTGCAGCCACTCTGGAAAACAGTATGGAGGTTCCTCAAAAAACTAGAACTACCCTACGACCCAGCAATTGCTCTACTAGGCATTTATCCAAAGGATACAGGTGTGCTGTTTCAAAGCGGCACATGCACCCCAATGTTTATAGCAGCACCATCAACAATAGCCAAAGTATGGAAAGAGCCCAAATGTCCATCGATGGATGAATGGATAAAGAAGATGTGGTATGTATGTGCGTGTGTGTGTGCGCGCGCGTGCGCGCGCGCGCACACACACACACACACACACACACACACACACACACACCGGAGTATTACTCGGCAATCAAAAAGAATGAAATCTTGCCATTTGCAACTACGTGGATGGAACTGGAGGGTATTATGCTAAGCGAAATTAGTGAGAGAAAAAAATATCGTATGACTTCCTTCATATGAGGACTTTAAGATACAAAACAGATGAACATAAAAGAAGGGAAGCAAAAATAATATAAAAACAGGGAGGGTTGACAAACCATAAGAGACTCTTAAATATGGAGAACAAACAGAGGGTTACTGGAGGGGTTCTGGGAAGGGGGATGGGCTATATGGGGTAAGGGACATTAAGCAATCTACTCCTAAA